GAAGTGAGCGAAGATTCGATCGAGACAGGCGTCTGCGCCTCAAGAACGGTACCTGATGAGTCACCGCTGCGGAATGAACTGCCACCTTCTAATATACAATTCCCACAAAGGACGTTCCTTGATGGACGGGAAAACGCAATCACAACGGTTAAACGTTCGCTTCTTAATGATGCTGGTTTATCGAATGGGAAAGAGTGTAAACATACGAAGGCGTCTTTCTCGTCATCGGAGAACGCTGTGCGCTCAAATATGGCAGGGAATAAGATTCTAAAGTGGATCGATTCTTCACCATTGAGGTTCAATGCTTCGAAGAACAGACGTGGAGTCGGACCTGACTCGTTTCCTCCGGCAGAGTCCAACGGGCAAATTAATCACCCAAACATCGATAATACACATCCATACCGATCTATACAGTCGAGCATAAACGGCGCCGACGAAGGTCTACACGAGGGGCCGAAAACCCCTTTTTCAGGACCCTGCTTCTTTGAGACATCAAGTGACAGGCTAGCTGAAATAGTTGAGATTCCTTCGAGTATATCTCCCTCGACAATGGTCGGAAACGAACCCGACGAGGTGATTGATTTGGGCAAACCATCTTTATCTGCCTTGGACTCCTCAAATGCCAATTCCGACCAACAGCCTGAGTCATTGTATTCGTCCATACGTAGCCAGAGGCAGCCAAATAAGGCTCCAGATAAGGTCTCCGGATCTGGGCAACTGGCACCCTTAAATATGAAAAGCTCCCTCGTGCAGTTAGATGGGCGGTCCACAATATCTTATTCTTCCTCATTTGATTCAACCGCATTGGACAAGAGAGCAAGTGGAAAGCCAAGTGGGACATCACGGTCGTTGTGTTCATCCTCCTCTAATGTGATGTCTACAAACAACACATTGGACGAATATGGTGCCCGCCGTGCTTGTTTAGAGTCCCATTCCCACCCGTCAAAGCCGGGAAAATTCCATCAAAACAACCTGAGTGTTTCCCCACCAACAACCAGTGCTCCTGCTCCTTGTGATAGTGATCCACTGATAAAAGCTGGACGAAAAGCTTCAAGTCTTCTACAAAGAGACGAGTCTTTTTCTTGTTGCCCTTCCCCAAACAAAATTAATCGAACAGTCACATCACAGTCACAGTTTCAAGAATTCCCGACAGCATCCCAGCCGAAAACCGAAGCAGCTTCTTTTTCTGCTGCCACTAGAGATATCTGTTGGAAAAACAAATTCCAAGCGGAATTTAATCACTCCAGTTCAACCGAATCTGCGGCTAAAACATCAAAGCCACAGATGTTGGACAGTATTGATGCTTCCGCTACTAAAGCGCCTGTAAGACGTTCTACCAGGCATAGGAACGCTCCCATAAATTATTACGCGCGACCTCAAGGTTTCCACCGAGGCAGGGACATACCGGAGTTGGCCATCGATGAACTAGAAGAAAGCACGCCGGAACCCCTTCCCGAAGCCACAACCTCTCCGAACCGAGTTGCAGCCAAGCCCGCCACGCAGCATAAAGTCGTATATCAGTGCAGGGATTTCCATATAACCCGTGAGCCTTTGTTGTTGGAGACGACACATTCGATCGCCGAGAAAATAGACCAACAACACGTTCCATATTTTGATCGAGGGTCTAGAGATGACCCGTCGAAGTTTTCTGGCAGCGATATTGTCCATGTTGACTTTGATCTCAGCGAAATGAACGCGATGTATAGTATACTGACTGACAGTGATCCTGTTACAGACGACGACATTCCCATTCAAGCAGTAGTATCGCATGCCGTGATAAGTTTTGCCAGTAAAGGCGGAGATCTCGATACATTCGGTCGGCGCATTCACTACCTTCGAGCAATTAAACGTTATTTACGCCACCAGAAGCTAGCTGTTGGCGACTTCCTTATTCAAGCGAAAAGTGGAAATGTTGATGGTATAAAGAATATGAAGCCTAAAATCATCGAGAAATTATCGAGGTGCCTGACAAAAGTGTTCAACATTCAATTGGATAAATACCCTCGAACTCCGCTAGCTAAATTGGGGGAGGTACTCAAAGTCCTGAAAATAGAATGGCTCTATAAGATGACTACACAATGTCGGCATTTGGACAATCTCCTATTTCGAGATATGGACGATATTCAAAGATTCCTGAAAGACGCCAAGGAAGAGGTTCTTAATCCCTTTCCCTCTCTTCTTCGTATTGTGGAAGGGGTTTCCCAATGTCACCTCCGTTTCGACGATTATGAACCATTGGCTCTTTTAAGATCTCGAGAGCTAGGATACTCCACTCATCGAAACCGGACTCGAATCAGCCGTCGCCTCGAAGACGTACAAAATTGGGAATTGTGGAAATCTTGGACAGGCGCTTCTAATGATGTGTTGGTGCTGTCATGGTCTCCAGACGGTACCCGTTTCGCAGCTGGTGCTGCTGCTCAAACTGATGACCACAATATGCAATATAACCGGAACAATAATTTAATTCTTGGAGACCTTACCGTAGGTAGGCTCAAGGAACTACCCGACCATCGCATAGAGAGACCTGTCCTGGAGTCGGGCCCAAATTCACACAGTACCTATATTATGGTTGATCCGAATCTGTATATGACTGTTACCGCGATGCATTGGACCAATTGTGGTAACCATCTCTATACTGCTAGTTTCGACAAAACTGTGAAATTATGGGATGTATCGTCTCATGAAAACGCCCGGTGTATTAACACTCTCAGACACCGCGGAAGGGTACAAGAAATGGCCATTTCTGAATTCGACAACCGCCTTGTGGCTACGGGATGTGATGGCCCGTCTTTCTTGCTATGGCGGGCTGAGGGTGACGAATGTTCCGAGTCCAGTCATCTTGAATTCCGGCGGGATAAGTGCGCGGGAATGACACCATCATCTCTTCAATGGGGAAGAACATCGCAAACCAACAGATTCCTGGTCGGAGGATTGACTAGCGAGGATCCTTCAAATACTCATGATCCCAGTAAATTCGGATATCTTACCCTCTGGCAAGTTGGAGAAGCAGCTGTGTCACCTCTAAATATCACCCCCAACACACAAAATATATTTGATGTTGCCTGGCATCCGAGCTTGAATATTTTCGCAACAGGTTGCACAGTTCCCTCTGCTGCTCGCAGTCATGGGTACGGTTCGGAGACTCGGTCACTGGTTCGCATCTATGATCCTTTAAATAGCAAATGGGCTATTCACTGTTATGATTGCCCTGCTCTAGACATCAACCAAGTGACGTTTTGTCCTGCCGATGAGGTTTATATGACAGCGAGCTGCACTGATGGAGTGACCTATGTCTGGGACTACCGCAACCCGAAAGCGATATTGCATAAGCTCAGGCATGGAGAACCGATCAGTGATTTGAACCAGGATCTCAGGCGCGAGCAAGCTGATGTTGGAGTCCGCTGCTCTGTCTGGGGAAAGGGCTTTGAATTCTACACGGGCGCTTCAGACGGTATCGTAAAACGGTGGGACATTCGTTTGGCTCCTGAAGATGTTTTCCGAGAGAACGTAGCGTCATTTAACCAGGAACTTATGTGCGCCTCTATGTCTCCCGACTACACCAACATGGTTTTCGGTGACGCTTCAGGGGGTATTCACGTGATCTCGACTTCTCCTTGGGGAAGGTCAGATGATAATTTCTCATCTTTTGACTTTGAAAGAGCACCACAAGCCAAATCCAAGGATGCTGTTTGCGAAGAGTCTATTTCTGGCATACAGGAGGCAGCGAAATTGATTTCATCTGGTGAACTTCTAGCTCACCCCATATTTGGACCTGGTCAAGGCCCACATTATAATGGGCCATATGCAGCATGGGCTCGTCCCGAAAAAACTCTACCTGAAGAAATGGCTTTTACGCCGTTAAAGCCAGAAGTACAAGCAACACAGTTTAGAGGTCCTCCACTCCATGAACGACGAGGGCTGGATAAACAGACGCGTGAAAGACTCGCCAAACTGGTTGAATTATCAGCCACCCGAAACCGAAGACGCGGCAAAAATAAACGGAAACGAGATGGTTTTTTAACTCTTAATTCAAAGCGTACAGTCGCTTTTCAGCCCAGAAGTACACCGTACTCCTCTGGAAAGATTGATGCTCATGCAAGTTTCAATTCAAAACCAAGAAGTATGCCTTGGAGCTCTTCAAATCAACCAAAGCACAAGCAGGTTAAACCTGCATTCAAGATTGATTCATCCAATTTTATTGATTTAACCCTAGACTCAAATGAGGAGGGTTCTGTTCAAGAAATTTGCCTATCCGAATTCAGCAAACAGCCAGATAATAAAGAGGAAGACGATGAGTTTGAGGAAGATCACTGGTGGCCAGTAAATGTTCACCCAAACTTTTAAGCCTTAAGTCTTGATTCTTGAAAATAATAGCTGCAAATGCTGCAAATCAATTTGATTTGAAAAGCACGCACAATTAAGCCTTAAAACTTTTGGATTCAAATATTTGCATTAACTGTAAGGATTCGCCCGCGAACCCCGTACACAGACAAACAACACCCACGGGCCACAAGGGCTGGGAGCCACTCGCGAGATGTTGGGAGTGGATGTGTACTACACAAGACACTACTAAGTCACATGCTCACAAGCACACATAAAAGGGCCTTCTTGAAGTTGCATGTCTGTTGCACATGCATGTTTTCAGTGGTCAGCTAGTGACAGTTCCATCACATTATTCATTCTGGTGGCATGGCAGACTAGTTAACTAGTTAGTTAGTTATCATCTCATTCCAAGCCACGAAGCCATGTCTAGAGCTCTTTATTAGGACCTGGAAGGCGGTAGTTTGATAGAATCTAGGGCTTAGGGCTAGGGCTGCGGAAATCGCCTGCAAGCTGTATATAGTGTCACTCCTCCCCAGGCCCCCTTTTCTAGGCTCACCACCTTAGTATTTCGTTGAAATAACTTACCTAGAAGTTCGGCAATGAGATTCTATTCTTCTGCACCTAGATTCGAAGCCCTAACACTCTTCTTCACTTTCCAGCTGCTGTTCCTGAATTATCAAGCATGGCATAAATCCAGCTACTCTCGAATCCTTAATTATGCATTTCTTTCATTTCAAAAGCCCTTTTTTCTGGCTTGATGAACATAGGATAATGAGGTGAGAACCATCATCAATGTTGAGAACTTTAAGGCTTTTATCCAGCCAATCATATTAACCGCAGACAAGCGAAGGGTTCTATTTTTGGTCTCTGTCTGTTTTTGGCTCAGTCCGCCTTGCACTTCATTTTCAGCAATACCCCTCAACCCAGCACTCAATTCTGTATTTCTGCACTTTTGAAAAGCTGTACAATTGCGTCATTTCTCAGGACCAGCCAACTATGATATCGAGAACCATGCAGAAGATGTTGAGTGCAAGCTGAAGCGCTGAAGCAAAGGGCCCCTTCAGGTCCCCCCAGGCAAAAAGTACCCCCGGCAAAAGGTTGATTGATTGATTGATTGATTTATTCATAGACTGTCCCAGCCGCCCTCAGGCAGCTATCCAGTGCACTACATACAGGAGTTTCTGCTGCCTGGAAGTTTAGCTATTCTTGCAAGAAGTGCCCTGCTCTTACACATGTCATTCTTGCAAGAGTTGCTTTCTTTCCACTTCAGCTTCCTCTACCTATAATCTTCCTGATTGTTCTGTGTCTCTGCCTTGTCAGGCCTTTCCTGACCATCCTTAGCTTCTATGTACTGGTTTTTACACTCGCATGCTAGTTATATCGGAGTACTGTGGATGGGACCGCTCTGAATTGGGTCAGAAGGCCTGTCCTGATCATCATCTTTGCTGCTTGTACCGCCATTGGCGAGTTACGGAGAATGCGTTTGATGTCCACGCATAGAGACCTGCCTGCCCACATTTGATGTCGTTCATCTGCCCAGTTTCGGCACTCCAGGAGGATGTGACGCACGGTCTGCGGCCCATAGCCGCATTGGCACTTGTAGGTGTCGGCCTTGTTGATGGAGTGAAGGTACGCAAGTAGGCCAATCTTGCCTGTGCGCATCTGTGTGATCACAGAGCTAATCGCTCTATGTGTTCCAATGTGTGTGTGCAGGATTGCTTTTCCCGGCCGGACCCCAAGTTTGAGGAGGTCTTTCCCGTGCTTTGCCTTTTCCCAGGATACTGAGTTTGTCTCTCGCGGACATCGCTGGCCTGAAGCAGCGGCGCTACCGCAGCTGCCCCAACGTGGCCGTTGATGCCACTCCCGTCGGTGTAGATGTGTATTGTCGTTGAATCCATAGCATCATGTTCCTTGATTGCACCTTCAGCGGATTCGTTTTATGCAGATAACAGGCGGGGTCCACCACGGCGGTACAGCATGGGGCTGGCGTTTCTCAAGTCGATTGAGCTGCAGCTTGAATTTGTTTTCCAAGATATTTGAGAACCGGTCGAGAGGGCTCTGTGCATCGCGTCCCCAGGCAAAAGGTACCCCCGGGCAAAAGGGTAAAAAATCCCGATAAGCAACTTAGCGGACATTCCACTGATGGAGACCACTTTAATCAGGAATCGTGGCTCCCCTATGTGATGGAACGGTTTAACGAGAGATGAACTGCAAGTTATACTGCTCCTAGTACGAGAATACAAAGCTGAGGAAGGAAAGAAGAAGAAGAAGCAAACAAACAAGCTATCTAGAATATCTACATTCCTCCCGCAGGCGACTTCCGGAGCCCTAAGATCTAGCCCTGATTTCCCATTTAGGTAGTGGTCTGAATCCGCGCCGTCACACCCAAGAGGATATTCCACTGACGGAGACCACTTTAGTCGGGAATCATGGCTTCCCTAGAGGACATTCCGCTGATGGAGACCACTTTAATCAGGAATCGTGGCTCCCCAGCGGTCATAATTGCCAATCATGTTGCAATTGGTGCCGATTAACGGTCATATCAGGCCTAATGATCCTCTGTGCCCTATCAGAAATCTCCCAAAGGGTCCAGTAGAGCCCTCACATTGCCATCCATGACATCTTTTAACCCTATAGAGCATAACATCCTTTATACTCTAATGGTAGGAATGAATTTCAATATCTCCTTAACTTTCAGATTGTTGAGTAGGGGAGTTCATCTTTTACTTAATAAATATGTAACGAGCAATAGAAAACTGGTAAATTTAGGGATTTCTATATACAAGATCTCAACTGGGAGATGGTTGGCCAACACCACTGCAAGACTTTGTGGATTTGGAGTAATTCTCCAATGTGATTTGGGCAGGAGGTGGATATTGTTTCTCCTGTACGGAGTAAAGTTGTGAGCAAAAGCAGCTAAAAACACGGGATTCTTCATACCAATTCCTCTTTTGGTGGAGGAAAGAGTTTAGTTTCATTCTTCACAAGTCTTTTTGTAAAGATTTGAATGGAAGGCTGCCATCTTCTCTTGGTTGTTTGATCAACCAAATGCTCCGAGATGGAAATAAAGATATCACTCTTGCAATCTCTGTGGTATTGATCAAGCTTGCCTTCCAGTGTGGTCTTTCGATCAATCCGCTTTCGTGAGAGGCTCCCCAAATCACACTTGGGATTTACTCGTTTGTCCACTGAGAAGTGAACTGTAATGTATCGACAAGGTACTGGATCTATTGTGCTATTGGAAGGGTTTCGGATCGGATATTTAGCAATTATCAGGTTAATATCGCTATAGCACTCTAGATAATAATCATACAGCATCTTCAGCAGCGTTTCCTTGCGTCTTCGCCGCCTTTGATGCGGGTCGGCGCATTTACGCTCTGTATCTAGCTCATTAATGTGGTCTGACGGCCGGCATGCCATGATTGAACAGAAAAGGGATATACAGGAATGCAATCATCCATAGAAGAATTTAAAGAATTTTATAGGCAGACAGTGCAGGACACTGGGAAGGAAACGGGACTGTTTATAAAGAGCTGCATGACCACGAATTTTCAAAAAAGCCACAAACTTTTCAGGCCACCATACTTGTGGCCTTGTAGGATCGATTCAAATCTACCTAAAATAGCATCAACACGATAAAAAGGCATTACAGTATGCTGGTCCTCAATTCTGTGTACTGCCTTTCAGGTCTCCCCCAGCTTTGATGGCATGTACACAAGTTTCTAACCTGACGAGAAATTGATGAGTAAGCAAGCTTCAACTCCCAACATCTCGCGAGCGGCTCCCAGCCCTTGGGAGTGTTGTTCGTCCGTGTAAGGGGTTTGCGGGTGAATCCTTACAGATTTCCCCCCTGGTAAGCCTTGGTCCCTCAAGGCGGCTGTCTCATTAAAAACCTTCATGGGTAGAAAACAAAAAACCCCTTGAGAAAAATAAAAATTTCCTCATAAGGAAAATAGTACAGCCTCACTAGAGATATGATATCAACACAACAGAGCCCAATAACACAACAATATGTAGAGAGCCTCTATTGTTCTCACTAGCTCCGTGTCACCATTAGATAATGGGCACTAGCTTAAGAGAAAGCTTTCTCTCACTTTCTCTTTCTCTTCTTTTCTTCTCTTCCTTCTCTAGCCTCTATCATCTTTACCCAAGGTAAGTGAACCCTCTAAGCACTGCTTCGCGTAGGAGGCAGATTCATGGGAGGTCTCTGGTGATTGGAAGATCACTATGGCTACACCCTGTCGCTCCACTCACTTGGCCGCAAGGCCACAGACTGGTGAGTTCACCCACGATTGCGCCTTTGCCTCGCGTGGTTGTAGGGTCTTGCCTTCGCGTGTGCTGCTAGCACACCTGGTCGGAGTCGGGTAGCCAGTGCTACTATCTCGTCGATACTATCTGGGATCTCCAGTTGCTCGTCCAACTTGGTTCGCATGGGCTTATCCAAGCTCCATATAAAGAGGTTCTTCTTTAGCTTCACGGGGTCTTCAAATTCTTCGCCAATTTCTGATGCAACCTCTCGGTATCGTTGGAGATAGGCATAGTCGGTTTCATCTGAACTCTTGCGAAGGCTAAAAAGTTTTCGCCAAGCGTTTCGCGTGCGGCTTAGGGAGTCTCCTGACTTTGCGAGTAGGAATTCCTTGAGGCCATTCCAGTTGTTCTTCGATGGGTTCTGTTCGCGGTGGACCTCCCAAAGGTCTTTCTCAATATAGTCAAGTCCAATGAGGGCGTACGCGAGGGTCTGTTCGTTGTTCAGTGCATTGGCATCGCGAATGAATTCAATATTGGAGGTAAATCGCCGGTATTCAGTGTAGCTGCCAGTCTTGTATAGCTTCGCGTATTGGGGTAGTCTTAGGACTGACGATCGCTTCGCGGGTGTTGTATTGGAGGTGGCTGCATCTAGGGATTCACTTCGCGAGTGCTTTCGGTCATTGGCTTCAAGGGCATTCAACTCCTTCTTCAATCTTATCACACTCTCTAGTAGTTGAATCTTTTCGCGAAGTTTTATAACTTCTTCTCCATCTTGGGCTATTTCGGTTGGCTCTCTCTCTGAGGTCGCCATGCTGGTTTTGGTCTCATCAACAGTTGAGAGAGTTGAGGTATCAGGGTTGGTAGTCTCTTTGTGAACTAGGGTAGGTGGCTCTTCAGGTTGGTTCTCTGCTGGCGTACCAGGTTCGCGAGTCTCAGGGTTGGCTTCTTTGTGTAGAGACCATTGTCGGGCGTCACCAAAGGATGAGTGGCAAAATGTGAAGATCGTACTTCATGGATCAGTGTGGCAATGGATCTCTAGTAGGAAATGTATGTGGAAAAGGAATATGCAAGGTAAAAGTCTTATATTCTTCTAGCAACTGTGTATGACTGTAGACAAGATTGCCACTGCTTTATTAAGAGGTTCGCACAGTGGCTGCCTTTTAAGGTGTCCATACCGGAAAAATGAGCTTTTCGGGCAACCGTCAGAAAACATTTATCTGACACAACCTGTTGAACCATGGGTTGCAAGCTTGAAACTGTAGATCAACCATATATTTACAATGCACATATAAAGGGTCCGAAACATAGAGAATTTGGAATATATGATGCACCAATTGAGGGTTTTGAACTCAATTCAGAAGCTTTTCAATTACTAGGAACTAACTAAGTATTACACAACCACCCACACAACCTGAATCATAATGAAGTTTTTTTTTTTTTTAAATTTTGGGAGCCTCCTCACTGGTTGAAGTCTCTGGTTTGGGGACAGGATGTAAGATCAGTGCAGAAGAATTGTCAGGGTGAGCCCATTTGGGCTGTCTGATCATACTTTCAAGCAAATCAGCTCCACTGCCTCCAGTTGGAGACAGGCCTGATGCAGATATATTTGGCTGTAACTGAACAAAGAGAGAAGGTATAATTAAAGTGGGGGAGGGGGAGGGAGAAGCAGACACAGCAGAGGACAGAGCAGCAGTAAATCAATCTATCTTGATTACTGATTTGCAGACAGTTTCTTCTGTCTTTCACTTTTTCTGTCATCAAATATTAAAGTCAGTTCAATTCATTCTGACATTACATCAAGTATACTGACTACAGAAGATAAACAATTGGACTTTAAGTTCTGGCAGATGTCAGTCAAGATTCTTTCAATATTCTATATATATAACTACATTAGCATGAGTTGAATGTATGATCTCCAATCAGTTCAACCTATCTTGACAGAGCAGAATGTATGCTCTGCAAGCTCTTTTTATTTGGCTTGGATAGACACAAGCTTTTTCAATACTGTCAAAGTGGCAGCATCAACTTCAGCATTGAAGGGGGAGAGAGGAGAGAATTTGTCAGTTCAGATCAACAGGGGTGCCATTTTGGCAAGCAATTTACTGAAACCAGTAGCCTGTTCCACCATACTGGCTTTCAATTTCTCTCAGAGTGTCATGTTCTTAAGTCTAAGAAAATTGTCATGATCAGACAGTAATGCTGCCACTTTCTTCTGCAGCTCTGAAGAGACAGAAGCACAGGCTTTTTTATCTTCTGCACAATTGGTGCAGGTCTTTGTGGTTTCTTGCTTACAGGAACAAGACTTTTTGATGTGTGCTGTATATATAAACATTAAACAGCAGCCACAGAGTATATCACTTATTATAGCAGGCTCTTCTTTGACAGCTGAGAGCTTTTGCTCTGGCTTCTTCTTTATGAACATTAGAGAGTGCTTATCCTGAGCTGCTGCCAATTTATGTGTTTGCAGAGCCATTTTTTGCTATTTCTGTATATATTATTCTTTAGTTTGCTGCAGTTCCTTATTTCATTCTGAAATTCACCACTTATCTTGATATTGGAATAGGGGGAGAGAAGCAATAAGAAATATAATAAGCTCAAGAGAAGGAAAGAAAGAAAAGAAGAGAAGAAGAGAGAGATTTTGTGTGGAAAGAGATTATTATATCTAGAGTGTCTGCTTGATTGTTTTGGATTTTCTAATCAGAATGTGTCTATTTATACATTACTAAGTGCTAACTCATTTTGCTTAGAGCTCCTACAGCTGATTACAGTAAACAATAAAGAGATATATATTAAATATAGCAAAATTTGGCTCTTGCAAGCATTGATATAACAGAGCATTGCATTAAAGTCTAGATATCAAATCCTGAAATTTATTTTGAAGCACAAACTAACAGTTCATTTTGACTCAAGAAGACATCTTTTTATGTATTCAACTAGAATCTGCATCTCTTTCAGAACATGCAATCAGTTGTGACTGATGCAGGTCTCTTTAAACAGGCAGACCAATTTATTGCAGTCTCAAAATAATTCTCTGTAATGTTCTGCAAAGAATTCCAATTCTTCTTGTCTGAATTATCATTCTCTGGCTCCTGCAGAGCTTGCACTGCCTGAGCTGAATATGAATCAGATTTTCTAGATGGCATACTAGATATCAACTGGACTGCATTCAGAATTCCTGGCAAAGTCTCAACATGGACAATCTTTGACTTTCTTGATTGGACCTTCTGTTGGGTGAAGTTATTCAAATTAATATCTCTCAGTCCTGGTTTCTGTGTCAAGCAGTTCCAGAGCTTGAGTACAGAATTCCAGATGTAGATCAACAGAGTGAATGTGTTCTATTTCAGACTGTTGTCATCAAGATACAGCTTTATGTATGCTGCTAAATTTGCATACACCTCTATTGCCATAACTGTCAGAGCAGAAATCATGATGATTAAGATTTACCATTAACTTACATTCAAAATATTATTTTCCTTGTGGAGCTGACTTCTCAAAATCAACACACAGCTTGACCCAGTAAAAGACTTTACAGAATTGGTCTCACTTGAACAATCAGGCAAAATAGCTGATCAGCTTTTGTTGATTAGTTATTTCATGGAGTCTGAAATCAGAATTTTCAGTCAAGCTGAGTTTAATACATTTTCTGACATGATTCTACAAATAAGGTCAGTTTATACCATAACTAGAAGTTTAGAGACATTGTTCCAATCTTTAAGCTACTCAAGATCTTACATTTCCAATCTTTACAGAGGTCTGACATGCATCTAAAAAGTTCATAAAAATATGAGTCATTCCTGGCTTCCCAGTTCTCAAGGCTCAGCACCTCCTGAATAGTATCAGGAATCAGATCAGTATTTAATGTTGATATATAGGCCCATTGCACCCAATTTTGTATCTCATGCTCCATCACTTGAACCTGCTTTTCAATCTCTGTATGATCAGAGAATGCTTCAGTTCAGGTACTTGTATTTGAACTGAATAATGCTTCTTGAGCCTTTGGCATGTTGTATAATTGGGCCCATGGGAAGGTGTAAGCTGTTCTTTTTGATACTGGTGTGCTCTGTATCTCCAACATTTTGGCTATCAGATTGCTGTTGAGAATAAATGAGAGTGAATGCTTGAATTTCAGAGGGGTTCACTATCTATTATATAGTTGACTTGAAGTGCATTCAACTGCTCAAGTTGCTATTCAGATCTGTATTCATATTCCCCTACATTCTAAAATTCAACATCACTAAGTGATTGATTTCTTTGAAATAGACTGATCACCCAGGAGAATACAGATTATTACTGACCTTGCATTCCTTAGAGCTAATTACAGGTCTAGATGATCAGAATATTACAGTTGATCTGCAGCACAGTTGGTACATTTTGCAGCTGCTCTAACATTCAACTTTGCTATAATACATTTAATTCCCCAATCAAACAGCAATTTTCTTTCTAATTTCTACATACTTTATTTCAAAGAAATTTCACAGCAATTCTTACTGTTTCTGCAACTTGAAACTCAACCACTGCAGAAACCAGCATATAAACCTCAAGCAAACATGCAAGGTTCAAGGTACTTGAGGTGTATAGAGAACTATATGTTTTGGAGAAGACAACTTCATTTGTCATTCCCAGTCTCACAGTTTCAAAGGTGCAGACAGCCTGCCCATTTGTTGCAGGAATCACAAGATTGCAATTGTATTTTATCTTCAGTAGAACCTGACATTCAGCTGAACAATCAAACTGAGAAGTCAGAGTTAAGTGTAAGATCTTGAATTCTCTGTCAGTCTGCATCATTCTAATCACTATATACAGTGAAGCAGGGTATGATGGGATGCCTTGTCAAAGTAGGTGAGTTGGTTGAGATGGTGAGAGCGCAAGAAGGATGAAAAATCACAATATAGTAAGGATGGTAATGGCCGAGTAGTAAGAACAGAGAAGCATGCCTTAACAGACACCTAAGCTCATAAGAAATAATAGTACTAAAGAGCCTGTACTAACACAGGCAGCTCTAATGAGGAACAGTAGCAAGCTTCATAAACAAGAGATCTTCATATTCTCTAACTAATAACCAAACTAGCAATAAAGAATGAGTGTGTGGAAAAGTACAAAGGTGTGTGAAGGTATTGAGTGAGATGCAGGGGCTATAGATGGTTTATATAGCTCAGAGATAGTAGCTGGGGGGGTTTTGTGCCTTGGACTGGAACAACCTTTGTCCTAATATGGTACTGGAATCCCCACTACATTTCCTTCTGGCTTTCAATGTTGGTGTCCCCTGACAACAGGCAACATATGAAACAAAACAAAGGCAATTTAGTAAAGAAAATAAGAGGCTAAGAATTAGTAACAATCTGGTAAGAAAAGAGATAGAAAATAAGAATAAAGAGAGTGACAGCAGCAATCTCTAATAGTGATCACCATGATTCTCTTCTTCCATCAAGTTCTCAGGAGAAGGAGAAGGCTGAACTGACACTGGATTAATGTTGTTGTGCATGCAATGCCAATAGGATTTGTTACCAAAAGCTTTCTTTTCAATTTGGTATGTCTTGATAATGGCATCCAAAGCAATTTGTGTGGCCTTTAGGTGTCAGTTATTAATGAAGTCCTGAGCCTTCTTCTCTTCTGGTCCAAAGAGGGTATTGAGCTTCTCAATCACCATAGGGTTGTCCCATCTAATTTGGCCTACCAAGGCATCCAATATAGCTTCTAAGCCTTGCAATTGAATAGCAGTAGGGAATCAATATGGAACTGATGTGTAATGGTTTGAATGGCTGGAAGGTGATAATGGCCCTGGAACTAGATCTCTATGTGCAGCAGAGAGCTGTGACCAGGTACCAGCTTTATTGACTTCAAGATGTTCATGGTTCTTCTGGATTACCACATACCAGGGTAGCATAGTATGCCGGACCTTTTTGCATGGACCATGAGCTCCATGGGGCAGCAGAGGGCTTGTAATTCAGATATTGCCAGATTTGCAAATGATGTTGGTCCACCTAATACCAAATTTTCTTTTGTCATCTTTGGTATACATTGTATTCTTAATGTGGTGAATATAGCCATCAGTGGATAAGCCTTATTCTTCAACTAGTCCCCACCAATTCTCTAGATGGTTATGCATTCCTGGCAAGATTTCTGTGCAGTTGCCAGACTCTTCTGCCATTAAGGTCAAGAATTCTTGTATCATGTTAACACCCCTTCCAGTAGTAATAGCATCTGGAACATTGACATCAATATGGTGAAATCCAGTTTTATCCCCTGGCTTAGCATACTTGGCATAATATGGATAGGAGATTAATTTCCAAGCATGATCAGATCTTGTCAGCACATACCATAGGTAGTATGCAGGGTTCTGGCGCATGAGTTGTTGGCCAATACTGTGGTACATTGTTCTCAATCATCTGTAATTGTTATGACCTCCCATCATTCACTGATGATGGTAGTACATATTATATTCACCATTGACCTGAGTGAGTACTGTAGTGGTGGTGTCTTGTAACCTATCATTCCACCAGCATATTAGCTGGAGAATAACAACAGACCCAGTGGTCTCCCATTTCTTCTGAAGATTGCTGGTGGTGAACTTGTTAACTCCAGTGATCCGCATGTATCAGTTAAAGTCAAACATTCTCATGTTTGCAACCAGAGGGATAATTGGCTGATGTTTGAATTTGTAAATGCCTAAAGCATCTTCAGCTCTAGCCAGTCTATTTGCCAAATGGAACCAGAGGTAGGTGCTGTTATTGGTCTTGACTGAGCTAATGTTGCAACAATTCCTATGGATGTGAGCCAAACAGTTGAGAAGCTCCTCTCTATTAAGTGTGTGAGTCTGCAACCCAAGTTTTGAAGCCATTAATTTTGCATGATCATAGCATAGGTAGATATCAGCTTTCTTATCACTAAATGCCTTTTCTAATTGCTCCAGGATGTGAATAAGCTCCAATTCTGAACACATTTTAATACTCTTTATCTTTTGCAGGAGTTGCTGTTCAAATCCACAGCAACAGCAAGTACCAGAGCATACTGCCATGACAGATTCTTCACACTCATGTCAAGGTATCTCTTCATCACTTTCAGAAGAAATAACAGACTCATCATCATCATCTAAGTCTTGAAGAGTTTGGTGTGCCAACATGGCTGCAATTCTTTCACTGCAGCACTTTGGAGCTTCTGATTGGCTGGGTGGATTGGCCAGCATGCTGGTGAATCCAAATGGCAGCTGTAATTGGCCAGTTTCAAATCCACACAATCTAATTGACATTGTGCTATGTATAGAGGCTCCCAACACATTGTGGCTATATGGCATAGACATTCCACTCATTGGAACATCTCTTGATAATCTTGGAGACTGCAGTCCTTCCAGTAGATCTCAGGGGCTGCTTGCAGTGGGAGGACTCCTAGCAATATTCTGAATTGAATATTGGGAGCTAGATGACTGTGGAAGAGCCAACAGCTGTAGAAGACTGTAGTTGCCAATGGTAAGGCCCCATCAGTATAGGGCATCTCTTGAAGGAAGTTTGCATATACAGTCAACTTCTTTGTCAGCTGTAGTATAATTGCCTGGCAATATAGCTAAGCTCTGGCAATGTCCAGCCCCTGTAGCATCTAGTCTTTGGAGCACTGTGCTGTTAATATTATTGGTGAACTTATCCCAATCCTTGTAGACATTTAGAGTATGGTGAAGCTTTTGTGCTGCCCACAGGCTCTCCACTTTTGACCATATGGCATCAATCCTGTTAATACCCCATGTAGTGACAAGTCTATTCTTGATCTTTTGCATATCAATGTGACATCATTCAACATCCAGGGTAACCTTTCAAGCATCATGGAAATCAGCTTCAAAATTAGTGTGTGTAACATGTTGCCAAGCTCTGAATCTTTCAACATATCAATAGAAATGGGCCACTAAGTCAGTAATCACATCAGTCACTTGCATCAGTGCGTTCATTAGCTCAATCTGTAGGCCATAGCAATAGTGTGGAGCTTGGTTATTGATGTATTCCATAGCTGCTGTTAGGTTATTGAAGAAATGGCCATCCAGGTTGACTCCACTGTCTCTGGTAACAACCAGGCCTTGGTTTTCGGGTGCAGGGGCTAGAGGAGGCAAGTTGCTTTGTCCAGCCATTTTGAAGGATATTGGTGATCCAAAAAGAATTGCAAATGTCAGAATAACAGAATAGAAGGCAAGAAGAAGTGTTGAAAATGTTGAATCTGTGAAAAGAATCAAGCTTGAATGTAAAAGACAGTAGAAGCTTCAGGAAAGAAAAATCAGTCTTTAAATATCTCCTGAAAAATTCAGAAAAAGTGAAGGCTTCTGCAAATAATAAAGAAAGAGAAACTTCCCAAATAAGCAAGCAAAAACTTCACTTTGCAAGCAAATAAAAGAAACCTCCCAAAAGAGCAAGCAAAAACTTCACTTTTGCAAACAAAACACAACAAATTAAACATCTTGTGGAGGTATAACAACAGCAAAGCTCCAGTCATCTGGTATAACAGTTGGTAATTATGTTTGCTCCATTTCTCCTTGGTCATTTTCATTTTTGCTCTCACTCTGATCTTGGTCATCCCCCCTATTCAAGGAGCTAACATCCAAGGAACTGCTAGAGAGAATATTAGGCTGGCTTCTTGTGGCATATTTTTGAGGAACATTCTCCATCTCTTCATCTGAATCTGCTGGGCTATCACTGAGCTGCTTCATTCCAGATCTTATAAGATACTTCTTTAATCTGCTTCCTGCAATAGATTCTTTGATTTCAGTGCTGTCTAACTCTTTAAGATGATAGGAACCTAGTTCTTGATTGGCAGACTTAACCCTATAGGGTTCTAGCCATCAAAAGCACAGAATGTTGTTTCTAGACATATTCTGTTCTCCTTTAGTATTGTGAAGCAAGACAAGGTCTCTGGGTTGAAGAGGGTTGGTCT